GCCTGAGGCAGAATTATACCACCCTTGCCAGGGGCCATGCTAAGTAATCTACTTGGTTTTGCTCTCAGTAGCTTTTGTTCCCTGAACACTTTCTATATAGCTTTGGGGGAGGAGAATGAAAATGGCAGCCTCTCAATTTCCAGCCTGGACAAGCCGAGAGCTTGTGGCCCCACTTCTCAATGCGCCCTCAAAGAAAAGCAGTCAATCACTCCCATCTTCCTGGTCTCCAGCCGCATTCTGTGCTCATCCAGTCTGTAACCGATCATTTCTGTCTCTGGTGCACGGTCCTGTTTGGAGTCTCCAAACCCAGCAGATTCCTGCAATGAACTTCTCCACTGCTCCTCCTAGAGAAGGAAGGAGTGAATCTCGCCAGATCTCCCACTTGTGGCGTCCCTCCTTGAAGAGTAGTGGTCCATTTGTGTCTTGGATCACAGTTTAAGATAATCCTGAGCTGACAGCCCACTCCTAGGTTCCATCTGCGCACCTGGCTTCACCACTCTGACACCTGGGAGTTCTGCCACACTCAGACACCACTGGTCTTTTTGTGACCCCACAGGTCCTGAGACCACACTGTTTCCTCAAGGGCGCCACCTCCTGCTTAGCCTCTGGGGCAATGTCCCTTAGTGGAGCAGACTTCTAAAAGTTACAATTTTGTGCTCCACTGCTCTAAGACCTTCCATGAGCCGTCCCCACCCCCTGAGGTCTATCTTCCTGTATATCACCTCAGATTCACTTTTCTGCACATCCTGTCTTCCAGAAAGTGGTTGCTTTTCTGTTCCTAGAATTACTGCTCTTCTTCTCTTTGATCTCCTATTGAGTTTGTAGGTGTTCAGAATGGTTTGATAACTATCTAGCTGAACTCCTGGGACTTGGTGATATTTAGATTTCCTACTCCTTTGGCATCTTGCTCCTCCCCCCGAGAGCTCTTTATTGTTACAAGGACTGAATTTATTATGAATTTTATTTTTTAAAAATTTTATTAACAAAAAAAGAAATCTTTGTTCTTTTGCCTAGATATCAATAATGTGCCAGAAAATACCACAATTTAAAAAATGTTATTTTTATTCTTTTGGTGTGTATCTACATTTTCAGGAATCTAAAAGGAAATTTTACACAGCAAATATTTTTTGTAAGATAAATTTTGTGACTAAGATTGAGTCAAATAAAACGATCTGAATATATAAGCACTTTTTTATAGTGGAACTAATCCTATTTTCTTTTATTGGAATTTCCAATCCATAGTTATAGAAATGGTTTTTAGTTAAACATTTATATGAAGGGTTATTTAAAGGTATTTTAAAATATACTTTTTCTTGTTGGGAAAATGAGATGATTTAATATCTAAAAAGTTCCTAAACAAAATATTCTCTATGACTATATTATTACCAATTAGTATCATATATATCTTATGTTCTAATATTCATTCTTTTTATCTGATATAAACAGTATTCCAAATATTGATGATAACTGAACAAAAAACATTAGTTCATGCCTTCTTAGAATTTGTTTTTATTTATATTTTACATTAGACAAAAACAATATATTTTTAGATATCATAAATACTAAGTGGAAAACAGAATATGTATATGAGTAACTCATGTACTTTAAAAGTATCAAAAAAAAAGATAATATAGAAATTGTGAGAGAGGAAAGTATACTGTAGGAAATGTTCATGGTTCAGTTAGAATGTGACATTTTAACCTTGAGGGAAGAATAAACTTTGGAAAGATGGGTTTGGAGGAAGTAAGTAAAAGTATTCCAGGTGGAAAAATGTCAAAGAAGCAGGAATCAGAGACTGAGGAATAGTTCAGACTACCTGAATAATTCACTGGATAAAAGAACATTTTCAGATGGACTGGGTGACTCAGTCTGTTAAGTGTCTGACTCTTGATTTCAGCTCAGGTTGTGAGACTGAGCCCCAGGTAGGTGTAGAGCCTACTTAAGATTCTCTCCTTCCCTCTCCCTTTGCCCTTCCCCCATAAAAAAGAAAGTTTTAGTTAAAATTTACTGGATTCTTACTGTAGGTCAGATATCATATGAAGTTCTATATTAGGTACTCATTTAATCCTCACACCCTTATCAATCAGGTACCATTATTTCTGATATTCCTTGAGATTAAACAACATTCTTATAATTACATAGTAAATGATTCTCAGAGCATAGTTGAAATCCTGGCTGGTTGTCACCAGATACCCACAATCTTAAACATTTCAGTAAATTCTCAGGTGTTGGTTTTCTACAAATGTGTTTATTCTCCTTTCCCCAAAAGTGTATTTTTTACTGGCCATAGATTTTTAGGTTGATAGTTATTTTCTTTCACTCCTAGTTATTTTCTTTCACTCCATTAGAATATTTGTTACTAGGTTCTTGCTTCTACTACTGGGAAATAAGATGTTAGTCTTTGGCTGCTTGAAGGTAATGTGTCTTTATTCCTCAGTTGCTTTTAAAATTTACTCTTCATCTTTCATTCTTCCTCCATGTGTTTTCTTTGTACTTATCCAACATTGGTCTGGAGAGGTTCCTAAATATGTGGTTACTCTCTAAATGTTATTTTTGGACAATATGGTTTTTGGTAATATGGTTTAAAAAATAGTATTTTACCTTTAACTGTTATTTTAAATTACTGGAATTAATTAACTTTTCAATGTTGAATGGGAAAGTGCCTTGTACAAAGAGTGTCTAAATTCAGAAAAATGCTTCTGAATTAAGTTAACAATGGATGAATAGAAATTCTTGAACTCTGGGTTATTTCTAGTTCATATTCATTTCTGCTTTCTTCAAAATTTATATTTGTAATGTTTAATTATTTAAAACCCATATTTTCCTCATTTTTTAATATTTCCTTTTTGTACAGATTTTATCATATCTATAGATCACTGCTGTTGTACCTTATACTTTAATGATAATCATACCATTAAATTGATGATAATTTTCTACTAATTATTAAGTCATCAAGAATACCAATAATTATTAGCTTTTAAGGAATGTATGGCTTTAATGGAAAAGATATTTGATTGGCTTTTGACTCACTTGTCACGTTAATTTCAAATTATTACTGAGATGTCAAAATAAAAATCAGTAGTAGACTTGTGTTTTTGTCTTTACAAAGATGATTCATACATTGTAGAAAGTGAACAGGGCACCTCATTGTCCCACAGACTTATGCATGTTTTCCATCCCACTCTACCTTAAATTCCATCACTGAATTGTGTAGTTTTCTGCATTTACCTATAGCAGACACTTACTTGCCTTGCTTACTATAGAATTGCTTCCATTTCAAATAAATATAATCATTATACCAAATTTCTTGTAAGTCTTTTATCAATGCTTACAAAAAAGGGAAGGAAAAATAATAAGCCAAATACAGTAAGTGAAAACTTTCCAAAAGTAACCGAACTCATTGAGAACATTAACAATGTAGGGACCACAATGCATGGAAAAAATTACTGCAAAAATCCAGCAAACCATGAATAGTATTAATGAGTAACCTGGAGAATTAACACATATGTCAAGAATAAAACCCAGAGTTGACAATGTGGTGGCTCTCATCCCTCTCTGCTTTTCAGCTGCTCACAAGCCATAGCAAACCAATTGACCCTATTAAACCAAAGCAGAATATTCAGTGGCACTGCTCATACATTTGAATTACTGTAACCTAAATGCAAATACAGGGAGCATGAATTTATTTGTTTCTCTGATTAAGATGTTGTTTGACTGTAATGCTCAAAACAAATTTACTAGTCACCTCTAGCAAACATAGAATCCTTTTGAAATCCATTCTGGTTACTTTGGCTTTTACTTTTACTATCATATTTATTCTTTTTCATGTGTTCATCCAACATGTATTAAGCATCTGTTAGGTGCCAGACCTCCTCAAGAAGCTAGAATGTATTAAAGTACAAGAGGTTCCTTAATCTCAGAGAGCTCCTCCTCCTCATACATGTGCATCTAACTAGATAGACTTCTTAACTATATTTGCAAGTAGAGAAACTGGGTTGCCATCACCTAGCACAGCTCTGTCTCAGAGAAAAGTAATGAGACCTGTGTGTGTGTTTTAAATTTTCTAACAGCCACAATAGAAAAAGTTAAAAGAAGTTAATGTTTTGTTTAACTCTTTATATTCAAATCATTACCATTATAACATGTAAGTAATAAAATTATTAGTAAAATGCTTTATAGCCTTTTTTCATACTAAATCTTCAAATTCAGTTACATCTCATTTGATACTAGCCACATGTCAATGCTCTATAACCACATGTGGCTAGTGGCTACTATATAAAAGAGTGAAGATTAAGAAAACAGCTAACATTGATTTTAGTATTTTTCATTATTCTAAATCTAGAATCTTTAAATGTAAAAGCCCCAATTCTATTTTTTTACAAGAGCCCTGTTCTTTGAAAGTATTTCTAATATATAAATTATTGTCCCACAGTACTTTGAGATGTCTTTGTTTTCCCAATCCTGGAAAAGTATTTTAGTATTTTGAGTGTTAGTATTTTGAATCTTGTTATTGGCCTACTCTATCTCTTAGAAAAACACTATTCAAAGTTTAGCAGCTTCAGTTGACTAACAATACTGTATTGACATAGATTATTTGTAAATAATGCCACAAAACAGTCAGAAGGTTTATTTGTTGTAGTTATATATATTTTTTTAACTCGTGAGCTAGTTGCTGAGTTATGTATTTAGTTCTTTAGTTTTACACCATCACTAACCTCATATTACTAATACACTGTTTTTATATTAAGATATTTAACAAAACCAAGAGTTTTGTGTCCAGAACATAATACATATTTATTTTTATTGAATTAAATACTTAAGAAACCGTTCACATAGTTTTTAATCTGTGGTAAAAGTAATTTTGGGGAAGTATTAACATTCTATAAGAATTAAAATAGACATAAATTGACAGAGATCATAATAGCCAGGAATAATAACTGTATTATAGGCTTAATAGCAAGAAATAATCTAAAGGTTATATAATTTTCATATTCCTTTAGAGCTACCAGTGTGTCTGCTTACCTGGTTGGGAAGGAAGTTTTTGCGAACAAGAATCCAATGACTGCAAAATGAATACTTGTAAGAACAATTCCACCTGTACTGACATCTACAATGGCAATCAGTGAGTAATGTATTTATTGTTTCCTTCATAAAATTACTTGGAGTATTCAGTGCCCTAGGATAATTCCAGCATTATTTTCACTTTTCATCTATTAATTAAATTAATAATCTCAAGATGAAGAGACATTTCCTGGCAAGATAGTGTCAACATTCATTTGAAATTTGTGTCCAAAAGTTATAAACAAGATTGAACTTGGAAGTGCAATGTCCAGATCTGACACATGTTACAAATGCATTTACTTCCGGGCACCTGGGTGGCTAAGTGTGTTAAAGCCTCTGCCTTCGGCTCAGGTCGTGATCCCAGGGTTCCGGGATCGAGCCCCGCATCAGGCTCTCTGCTCTGCAGGGATCCTGCTTCCTCCTCTCTCTCTGCCTGCCTCTCTGCCTACTTGTGACCTCTGTCCGTCAAATAAATACATAAAATCTTAAAAAAAAAATGCATTTACTTCTTCAAAACATGCCTTTGTCATCTCAGTGTTTTGGATCATTCATGTAAAATGAGTACCACCATATGACTCCTTCATGTATATGTTGAATTAAAACTTTCAGTTTATTACCTGGAGATTTTCATGAATTTGGATTACTTTCACTGAATTATTGATCAATTTTGCATTAATTAGTCCACATTTTCCCTAATCCAGTTGTATTAGTTTCTAGGTGAGAAATAAGCTTTAAATAGAAATTATGAATAACTATTGCTAATATTCCAAAAGTTTAATAACCAAATATATATTGATAAAATAGCTTTCATTTTTAACTTGTTTGGTAAACTCCAGGTATCTCAAGTAGATGCAAAACCGGGTGTACTGTGACTAGAATGATTTTCTTCTTGTCAGAGAAGCAGATTAATTGAATGCAAATTTACTTAGATGATTATTTTTTCAAGGATAAATCAAAATGACTTCAGAGTGTCCTCTAAAATAACTCATACACTATCTTGTCTTGTGATTACAGTTGATGATTTCAGATCATCTCAAGCATGTAAGGGTTTTGACAAATATTTTATCAAAGATATTCTTATTTTGGGTGACTAAAGCGGGATATAAGATCCAGACAGATTAACAGTAGGCAGGTTATTTCATTTAAAGACAATTCTGAAATATCTGGCAATAGTTTAAGAGAAAAAATGAACAATTTTTAATATAGAAAAACTCACAATGCCAGTAGTTGACATTATTTTAAAATATATAAAAATGTAAAAAGCTATTTTTTTGTGAATTATCAATTATTTAAAATTGACATATCACAAATTTGTATTAACTGCCTTTCCATCTATATTGTAGGAGAAACAATCAACTTCTGTTGAGCTAGGAAAGAAAAACTTCCTGTAATTGTCTATGCTTATTTTATTACTCTTAAATGATTAATAATTATAACCTACAATGTGTAATATATAATATATATATCGAAGATTCTGTTACATACTCTTTAGTATTTGGCTTTTTCTATATTTCCTAAGATAATTTATGCCTTTGTATACTCACACTGTTAATCACCTCCAAACAAATACCAGCAGGAACATGCCTGTGGTTAAACTAATTGGGTTAATAACTTATTACTATAACGGAGGACACACACTATGTAAATCCATGTGGCATCTCAGTAGAAGGGGGCTGGAAAGGATTTAGAGGTTTGAGTTTGTGACATATAATTTTGCGGGGGTTAAGAAAGTGGACCTGGATAAAGAGACCTTCAGGAAGTGGAAAGAATTATCTATATTCATAACAAGTCTCTTACCTAGGAGAAAGGAAGACTGGACAGAGGTAAAATCCAAATTTCTAAAGAGGCAGCAACCATTTATATCAATCATGTTAATATGATAGACGTACAACCGTGATAGAATGTTTGGCTATTCTTGTGGTTTAGAAAATGTTCAAGTTTTTGTCTGTATTTAGAAATGTTTATGAGGCAGGCTTGTCTTTATAACAATTAATCAGGGTCATAGAGTAGCTTTGTCTCCTTTTGATGTTCTGTGAAATTGTCTGTTGAAATGTTCAACAGGAGAACACCAAGAGCTATCTGCAAACCTAGCTTATAGTGCCTGAGCACTATATGTTTTCTACTTTTATTATGGTAAGAAAACTTGTTTTGTATGAGTTAAATCTTTTAAAACTTACTGAGGCATGTATTACAACTTAAGATATGTTCTTTGCATATTTGACAAGAGTGCATATTCCACTGTTATGTGGAATGTTCTGTAGGGGTCTTTTAGGTCTACTTGGTTTATATGTCGATCAAGTCTTTTATACCCTGCATTTTCTACCAATTTGTTCTATCCATTATAGAGTTAAAGTTTGCAATTGTTATTGTAAGATTATTTACTAATCCTTTTAGTCTGCCACATTTTGCTTCATTTACTTAAGTTAGATCTTAAGGCTCTTAGATCTAATTGTTAGATGTTACTGACAGATTTAAATATTTATAAAATATCCTTCTTTGTTGTGAGTAACCTTTTTTTGCTTAAAGTGTATTTTGCCTGATATTAGCATAGCTGTCTCAGCTCTTTTTTGATTATTAATGGCATAGCATTTATTTTTCTAACTTTTTATTTTTAACCTGTTTGTGCCTTTGAATGTAAAGCTTGTCTCTTATAGATAGGATATAAATTGACTGTTTTTAAAAATTCATCCTGTCTATTCTACCTTTATTGAAATGTATACTTAATTTGCATTTAACATTAATAATGAAATAGAGTTTTATTAAGGTGTTGTTTTCTTTTAATTTAAATATGTTATATCTTTTAAGGTTTTTTATTCCTTTATTCCTCCATTATTGCCTTCTTTTGTGTTAGGCTTTTCCTGTTATTACACTTTGGTTTCCTTTTTATTTTTACTATATATTTTTACTTAGTTTCTTAGTGGTTATTCCATAGATTACAGTTAACTTCTTGACTTAAAGCAATTTACATAGTGTTAATACTGACTTAATTTCAACAGTATACAAAAACTTTGCTCCACCATTGCTTCATTCCCTCCCATCTCCTTCGGGCTAATATTAATTATAAGCCCATCAACACATTTTTATAGGATTGTTTTATGCACTTTCTTTTAAATCAGATAGGAAATGAAAAAAGAAATAAGCAAAAACACCTTTATACTGTCTTTTATATTTACCCATATGATTACCATTACCAGTGTACTTTATTATTGTCTAGTATCTTTTCATCTTAATCTGAAGGATTTTCTTTACTAATTCTTATAAGGCAGATCTGCTGCTGATGAATTCTCTCAGTTCTGTTTTATCTGGAAATAACTTAATTTCTCCTTTAATTTAAGGGATAGCTTTAAGAAATAAAGAATTTGTGGTTGACAGTCTTTTACTTCCAGCACTTAAGATATCTGGACTACATGTTTTCTGATAAGTCAATTGTTAATTGTACTGGGGATTCCTTGTACATAATGAATTATTTTCTCTTGATGCTACCAAAATTCTTTGTCTTTTGACAGGTTGATTATCATGTGATTGATTAGCTTTTTATGTTTTTGAGTTTATTTTATCTGGAAATCATTGAGCTTCTTGGAGGTATAGATTAATGTTTGTTATCAAATTTAGAAAATTTTGGCATTTATTTCTTCAAATATTTTATGTCTTTTTTTTTCTCTCTCTCTTCTGATTCTACAACTCTCACATGTGTATGTTAATGTTCTTATGGTGTCCCACAGGTCTCTGAGGCTCTGTTCATTTTTCTTTCTGATCCTCAGGATCAATAATCTTAATTGATTTTATCTTCAAATGCATAGCCTCCTTCTTCTACCAACTTAAATCTAGCAGTGTGCCCCCCTAGTAATTTTTAATTTTTATTTTTTTATACACTTAATTCCAGAATTTCTATTGTGCCCTTGTTTATAATTGATATTTCTTTATATTCTCAAATTGGCAAAACATCAATCTCACACTTATTTATTTATTTATTCCTTTTTTTGAGAGAGAGAGAGAGTGCACAAGTGAGAGTATACATGCAAATTGGAGGAAGGGGCAAAGGGAGAGGGTGTGAGAGAATCTTAAGCAGGCTTCATATCCAGAGCAGAATGTGAGGAGAAGCTCAGTATCAGGACCCTGAGATCATAACCTGAGCAGAAGTCAGGAGTCAGAAGCTAAACTGACTAAACCATCCAGGTGCCCTATTTAATTATTTAGATATGACTTCTGTTTTTCTTTGAACACATTTCTTTTAGCTGATTTAATATCTGTGTCAAGTAAGTCCAATATCAAGACTTCCTCAGGGATACTTTCTCCTGGTTGCTTTATTTCTATATATGTGTCATACTTGTCTGTCTGTGTATGACTTATAATTTTTTATGAACACTTGACCTTTCAAATAGTATAATGTGGCAAATCTGGAAATCAGATCCTGCTTCTTCTCAGTTGTTACTGTATTTTTTGTTGTTTTTTTTAATTCTTTGTTTCTGCTGTTGTTTGTTTAAAGATTTTTCTGAAATAGTTCTATAAATCATTTTCTTTGTCACTTGTGACTATTCAAGTCTCAACTTGGCTAATCTAATGGTCAACTAAAGATTTAACAGAAATTTTCTATAATTTACTCAAACTACTATGTCTACTAATAAGCCTTACTATGTGTATATGGTGAGGCATGCATTCAGTACTCAGCCAGGCATTTTACAACTCTGCCTTATTCTCCAGTATCTGCTTGCACAGAGGCTCAAGGTCAGTCAGACAAAAGAGATTAACGTCTTTTCCTATCTTTCTTAGACCTGTGTGGACTTTCATGTTGTCTTGTCTTCTAATTTCCCAGAATATGTCTAGCTTTTCAAAGACATCTATGAACATCTCAATAATCTGCCATTATTGAAGTGATTATACCAAATTATGTTTTATATTATTTATATGGAAGAGAGAGAGGATAGAGACAGGGAAAGAGAAAGCATGAATTTTAGGGTCAGAGTATCTGGATATAGGATATCAAGTTTGGTTCTGTCCTTAAAGATTAGTGTGAATTGGGTTAAGGAATTTTATTTGTATCCTTAAGCTTTCAGGATTTTG